TATTGACAATTCGGGAATCTGCCATCCAGCAGCTAGAATTTTATCCGCGGGACTTCAACAGTGCAAGGTGAGTTATTCTCACTATACTAAGGGGTCTAAGGCACCAAGGCCGACCCATTGGATTTGATATCCCAGTAGTTGATTACGTGTTGAGTATGAGATAGTTATACATGCTAGTTTGCTATGCCAGTTTGGTAGATCTGTAGGACTACCTGTGTTACTGTTTGATTACCTGTATGTGCAATTAGTTGTATATGTAGACATGTTGTGTGGGTAGGGTTGAGGTTGCACTGTTTCGTGTGGTGACCAACAAACCCTGGAGTATGCCAGATATGAGCTGAGGGCGGGGAAGGCATACCAGACTCATACTGAGGACTCATTAGCATACCAGATACGAGCTGAGGACCGAGTGGTATGCCAGACTCGTACTGAGGGCTTGAGGGTATTGGAGCATTCCAGTTGCGAGCTGAGGGCCAGAGGAGCATGCCAGACTCACACTGAGGGCTGATCAATTATGTTTCAGTCTTAGGACTGAAGGGGGCAAGCCAGTCATAAGCCGTGGGCTCGAAAGCAAACCAGACTTATGTTGTGGGTCCAGGGGGTAATCCAGTCTGTAGAGCTGTGGACCCATTACATGTTGTTGTTATGTGTATTGTTTGTTATGTATCGGTATATTGGGGGAACTCACTAAGCTTCGGGCTTACAGTTTCAGTTTTGGTTTCAAGTACCTCAGATGATCGCGTAAAGGCAAATGCGTGATCGTACAGCTCCTCACATTTTATTACTATGTTTCTGGGATACTCTGATATAGAACTGTTTTGAAAACAAATTTGTAATAACTTTTGGTTTCTAAATGTTTTAAAAAGTTTAAATTTGGCATGATTTTTATAGATGTTACAGCCGCTCTAGCTTTCACATCAAGAATAATCAGTTTCTTGTCATCATCATCATAACTAGTCTCTGGTTTTTGCTTCAAAGGACCAATGAGAGCATTGTTGACCATATGTTGATACATAGGAACGTGAGGAACTTTTTGAATAATTTTAAGCATCTCATAGTCCATGGTTTCAAGAACAACCATGGCCTTAGTTTTCCACATGGCGAAGTTGTGCTCATCGAAGGGAGGAATCTTGTTGAGACTAAAGGATTTGGGATTTTAGGAAGTCGACATGAAAACTTGAGTGTATCAAAAACCCGCTCTAATACCAATTGAAGATTTGTATCGATTGGGTACACTTCAAGTATAATAAAGAAGAACAAACTAACTAAACAAATTAATGTACAGAAAAGTAAAGAAGACGAAATAATCACAAAGATGTCTTTCACCAAGAAATGAGTTGTTTTCATCAAGAAAATTGGTTGTCACAAAGACGGTCACCAAGACGACTACATTATGGTTTTATCCTAATGTTGAATATATACTAAACTGTACTAGTATATCCCATTAATCAAGGAATTGTATCTAACTTATACTAAGAATTGATCCTTATCACCAAGATATCGGATATGTTATCTATTCTATACATATCCGTATAATTACCTAATATACAAGGATTACATATGATCACTATCTACACGCTAACGCTGATAAGGCTTGAGGCGCTGACATTGGTGCTGATGTTATCGCTAGTGCTAGCAGTTGGCGTATGAAGTGTTTGATTCATCAGATAATAAGGTGTGACCTTACAAGTTAGAAATTTGTTTAAGTGTTTTTCTTTCATGAAAATCCCCCCCCCCCCCTCCCCTCAAACACCTATAAAACACTTATTTGGAACTTGGATTTAGTTAATTATTTTAGCTATGGGTTAATTAATATAATTATTATATCGACTACAACTTTTATTTAGAAAAGCTATGCATATGAGCTCTAGATCCCTAGTTATAAGGCCATAAAGATAGGACGATGAACACTCGTTAATATCATTTATAGTGTTATTATTCTTTATATTATTAATTTTCTTTACACTGTAACTATTCTTCATGTTTGATAAAATTCTTTAAGGTATTAACATTCCTCATGCTTGTTAATATTATTTACAATTGTTAACATTCTTTATAAATTTTAACATTTTTTGCACCTATTAATATTGTTTATAATTTTAACATTCTTATATTGTTAACATTCTTTTCTATTTCCTTGAATTCATGTCCAAGTACTCAAATTTCACAACACCTAATAAACATTATAAAACGTATTAATGAAATTATACCATCAAAAGACTCTTAGGGCATAATTAACATTATTTCCATATTTTACTTTATTCTTCAAGGTTCTTGCATATAACCCTTTTATCTAAAGCACTTGTTACATTTGAAGGTTGGTTAAACAAGCCTTCCATTGCTTAATTTTTTTCTTTATTCTACAATTTATTGATTTTTCTACTTTGTCCCATTTTACGTAATGTAAAGACTTGATCCCTTATTGAAAAAAGTACACAACATGATTCACTATACACACATATTATAACATCCTTAACAAAAAATTTTGGATGTTACATCTCTACAACAATAGGTGCCCAAATAATATGTGTCATACATTTATTAAACTCCATACAAACGAACTAATATTGCCTTTAAATTTTAACAGCTCACTGTTCCAAAATTCTAACGATATACAAACAAAACACCTATAATCTTTGTTAATTTTCTATTGACATGTACCCTTGATAACATAAAATATTAAACTTCACTCTTGAGACATGTTGTTCACACTAACTCTAATAATCTATCGATATCTGCCTCTAAAGATATTAGTGCTTCCTTCACCATTTTTATATAGACTTTCAGAAATATAGTGGCATATAATGTAAAAGTCCATATCCTTGGATCCATAACGATATGCTTGTTTATGCTTACTCCCACAGCAGCTAATAACCAATAAGTGTTTTTATTATTGATGGGAAACAACACATATGAAATGATATAAAAAATTTGAAATCATAATTGATATAATTAGATTTATGAATTTGAAAATATACTTACCCGACCAATATTCATCCAATCAACATAGGGAGGTTGGGACCCATATTAAGAGCATCCACAATAGTGAGTTCAATTAGAGAGTTGAATGTGGTTGCAAGTCTATGTGTCATTCAATGGATGAAACTCCACCATTGGATGCCACCTTGGACTTCAATGAATTTGGAATTCAATGGTCATTGAACTTTTTAATGTGAAAAATGAAAGTTTTTAATTCTTGTAGGAAAAAAATGATAGAGTTGTATGGATTGTAGAAAGATGATGTGTCAATCCATTGAATTCTACGGAGTTCAATGCATTGTGGATGCCCTAAGTGACAATATTGTTGACACGTGGTGTCTTTATGAAAAATAAATGAACAATAATGTTCGTATTTGGTTGGTTGGCTTACAATCTAATAGTACAAGACCCTATGAATCGAAATGTTGTAGATAAACCAAAACATGCAATAAAGTATATATTTAAAATTCAAATGAATAATACTTTTTTTACTAAATAAATCGCCATCTAGTTTGGATGTTTACTATGTTCGTTATGGTAGAAAAGAAATTAGGAAAAACCAAACCCAAAACCCACGGCGAAAATTCTTCTGTATATGTAAACACTAAAACTACTTCATTCCTATAATCATATGGTTTAATTTTTATCTATATGAAATCATTTACCATAGTGGTCTATAGTCCCATTACCATCATCGTACCATGACATTAAGCGTTGTCAAATGTTGGTGATTTTAGTGTCACCTGATACGGAGTGCATGTATATATAAGATCGAATTATAAGCCGGCACGACAGAATCACAGGGTTTGGGGAACGCCCCAAAAGGTCTTCCGAAATTTGGATTAGTTACATTATGGAAAAACCGAATTCTAATGGGTTATTATGGTAAAATTGATAAATTTTATCAATTTTGGTAACCCTTGATTATGTCATTAAATTCGTGATTCTCCTAACTATTTGTAGATTTACGTAAGGGGTTGTCAATGTATGCCTTTGTCTTTGGTACCTTTTCTTCCTCATCTTTATCAATATTAAACAAATCTACAAATATTTATCCGCCTTGATATAATCTACCCCGCATTAGATGGTATCATTTTCATCCATGAATGTATCTGAATGTATCTGATCTGATCTTCCTAATATATAAAGTTAATAAATGATTAATATATTAATATAATGTTGTGAATAATGTTTGGTAAATTAATAATACCAAAACTATCTCGTATTCACGGATAATGAGACAACTCCTCCAAGTGGCATTCGTATTTAGTCTAGAAAACCCAACAACCATATTAGGAAACATATTGTCATGTTCCATATCTAAATCTTAAGTTATATAATGACAAACATTAACATCAAACATATTTTGTAAATATTAATATTTAAAAAATAAGATTTGTACATAGACAACAATTGATGCTTTATAATTTTATGTTGTACAACTATATAATGCATAAATTGTTGTGTATGGCAAAAAACTGTTGTATACGAATCACTTCCCTTATTATAACTTGAACACATATCCTAACCATTTATATTATATGTTTTCACATCATATACTTTCTTTTTGGTATTTCATTTAAACTTTCAATTCAGCATACATAGAAATCGCTAAACATAAGTTACTGTAAGTATATCTCGATACATTTAATCCCATTTATATATATACAATAAATGATCATAATCTAATATAACATATAAATAAATTAATGTCTTCTTAATATAATGTATATTCTATGCCTCTAGATCGTCAACACTACACAAGCAACATGAGGAGACCGTCTAGTTATGTTGCCATCCCACAAATCCAACCTCAATCAAATAACCAAACTAAATCATCAAGATAAAACACATGTGTAAGATACAACTAGCAAAAGCATTATGTTCTATAATTGGCTAATATCATCCTGATATACTAACGTGTAACGTCACCCTCCTAGATTATAACATTAAGATAAGAACAAACTCAAGAGGTCCAAATAGGCAAGTTGTATCCTCCAACATGAAATCACCCCATCATTATGGTCATGACTGATATGAAACAAGAGCATAACATGTACGGGGAACATGTCTCCACTATATTTGGTATATCCAATGCGCTCAAACACTTGATCTCTTAAATAACTTCGTATGAGTTGGAGAGGTTGTCATTTTACCATTAGTGTATCCTTATGGTATCCCTTAGCCCTTATGGACGTAATAGCCATTTTCGAAACTAATATTACAAGTTGGGAAAATACGAAAAAAAAAGACTTGGTAAAAGAAATACACAAAAGGTTAAGAAAAATCAATATGCCTAGAAATCACATAAATAGTTTAGGAAAACACAATGCAAATGGACAATATACACAATCGTTTTACTAAAAATTATATGCAAAGAAACATTTACTATGAAAAGAAACATCTTGAACATTTTAAAAAACTTAGCAAACTTGTTGATTTGCAAAGCACCATTTTCTAAGACACACTCCATTAACATTTAGGATATAGAGTATACCTCTAATTTGTACATATTTACTAATTAAACTATATTATGTTTAGATAATACGTAAATACGATACTTCACAAGTAATAATTGAAAAACTCATGTATGTTCTTTTAATTCGCGAAACAACGTTTTCTATACTCTTACTCCAAATTTAGCTGTGATACTGAGGATGCAAGTTTACTGAACGAAAAGACTCTAATGTCGCTACAAATGACCTACAAACACTAATATGTATACCTTGTGAGCTTATTCACAATCCACACAGTGCCAATCAACTATCGTTTATTGTTATATATACTCGTTTTAGAATAATTAAGGAATAGTGATGTCATTAACTCGTGAGAATAAATCACAGAAAGCTTTACGAGTATTCTTATGATAGACTCATCTCGGATACCGTTCATAGAATAACGACATAATAAAAGTGGAAAATAACGTTTTATATGTAGGAATCTTTCATCTCTCTTTTCGTGATTCTGGAGAATTAAAGAGGTTGTGATACAAAGGAAAATATGATTTGATATTATATAGGACTTCCAAATATAGATATTTTAGTAAATACCTACGTATATAAGTTATTAAATATAAATATTAATTAAGTTCTTTGTGAATATAAAAAAAGAGGGTTTATTTAATTAAAGTTATTTATTTATTTCGTCTTTTAAGCTGTATATATGAACCAACCCCGTTACTTCGTTTCCTCTTCTTCGTCTTCGCCTAATTTATTGACCTAAGTTCCCACCTATATTTATATTTTCTTCTGTATTTTTTTCACTCCGAGAGGAGGTTGTAGCTCTCAGATTTTCCTTTCTTTCTCAACAGGTGAGAAATTAGCTTAACTTTCTCAGCGATTTTCTATCAATTCCATCCAGATATCTGGTTTTGTGCATATGTGATTTTGAATCCTTGTATTTTCTTCTTTCTTCTTCTCTCGTGCTGATTTCATCACTTTTAGCTGATTTTGGCTTTTAATTTTCACTTCCGATCTTGATCTACGCGACGTTACGAATTTAACCTTTTTTGATGTCGAAGTTTGCTAATTTTGAACAGTGATTTTTCATTTGATTCAAGATTAAAGGTTTCCATCTTTTCCCTAATTTTGTTGGGGACTCTACGATTTATTTTAGATCGCAGATTTTTTTAATCTTCGATGTAATCAGAGACTAAATTTTTCTGAAATTTATTTATACTCAAAAACATCTCAGTCATGATATGATTGCAGATTTTTATAGATTGATTTCCGATCATTACAACGGATCTGCTTATATTTTATTTTTATGATTTTGTCTTCTTTCTTCTGTATTTATAAATCTTATAGTCTCGTGTTGCCGTCTATGTTTGTCAAATTTAATATTATTTTAATTCGTTTGACCAGATCTCGATCTAGTCCATTTCAGATCTTGTAATATATAAAATAATCATTTCCATTTGGAATTGATCTAATTGCTTTTCTTCCTTTACTTCTCTCTCTCTCAGATCTAGGGTTACTTTTGAAGCTCTACAACAGATTTGAATTAATTCTTACAAGTTCTATTTCAACAGGTGTTGTTTCCTTCAGATATCGTAAAATCAGAAGAATGAATCACTGCAGGATCCAACAAAACACTAACTTTTCATCTTTTGGTAATGGAGATCATGTCGTTTGTCCGAAGCCTCGACGACTCAACCTCTTCGACACCTCCATGAACGAGCCTGTTCGACCTTTAAGATGGCTCATGTGGTATGTCTTCTTCAAATTAGTCTTCAATTCTTTCTGATTTTAATCTCACCTAGAATTGACCTAATTTTTCGTTTTCAACTTTCAGCAATCAACAAGAAACTTATGAGTCTAAAGCAGGACCTGAGCTTTTAGACCTCATCTTCGCAAAGGTAATTGCTTTGTTAATTATGATTGTTGCATCTGAATTCTGAAACACAAAGATCCAAATATTTACATCGATTTTTCCGTTACAGGGTGGTGGTTATGGTTCATCGGAGCAAACATGTACACAAGCAGCCGCCTCGTCGCCCCCTTTTTTCTGTGGGTCACCGCCGAGCAGAGTTTCTAACCCGTTAACACAAGACGCTCGATTTGGAGACGACAAATTCTCCCCAATCTCACCGGAATCAGTGATTCCACCTCCCAATTCCGGTATCCAATCTTCCTCTCCATCATCCTCCTCCCGGAAACCGGGATTCCTCCGTTCCAATTACACCAACAAACCGGCGGTCAGAATCGAAGGGTTTGACTGTCTTGACAGGGATAACCGCCGCAATTGCAGCATCCCTACTCTCGCCTAAATCATACTTTCTTCATCAAGTACATACAAAAACAGATCAAAATCAAGTATTTCAAAATTACAAGAGAAGAACACATCGAGTAAGTTGGTAATTTAATTTTTAGCTTTTCTAAAGAGGAATTTTGCTCAATTTGGGTATAACCTTTAATGTAAATAGGTTTAAGAAGAGAGGGTATTTGTCTGTATGTAAGTAAGTATATTTAGTGAGTTATTAACAAAAAAAGAAATAATGTTTAGGGTTAAGATAATACAATATCCTTCTGGTGATATGATTTGTAAGTATAAATTATCAGTCGAAGGGAATTTTCAGAGTTTATGTGTTCTTGAGTTGTTAATTTAAAGTTTGCGACTTTATACAAAGGAAAAAATCTGTATAAATTTTTTAAAGTCGTCAAATTTCGTTTGTAGCGTTGTAAATAATAAATATGATTATGTAATGTCTTTATATTATTTATGTTGGATGAAAATTTCAAGGTATATGTTTTTGTTATTTTTTTTTTTTTTGTATATTTATGAGTGTTAGTTACAAGTTTGTGTTAGCATTGATGATATCAGGTTTGGTTGGAGTTTTGTTTGTCTCAAAATAGTAACGTGGAGTTTTAATTTATTATGGATTGCTACTTAAGTGGCAATCTTTTAAATTAGCAGCTGATTAATTTTGTATTTAACTCGTGATTTTATTATCAATTGTTTTCTAGAGGATATTTTACGAAAATGTCAATTAAAAATGAACTCATAATACAAAACACTAAAGATTTTAGGATTTAAAATTTCTTTTAAAACCGATTCACGTTTTCTGAATGTTAAACCTTTTATCTTAGGTTAAATAGGGTACTTATCTTTTGCACTTTTGACCATGATTTAAAATTTTGTTAAGAATTTTTTAAAATTTATTACGTATTCGTCTCAATCTTAGTTTTATTTACGAAAAGAAAATATCTACAACTTTTTAAAGATTTTTTAGAACTTTTCATAACCTTTTTTTAAAAAAAAAAATATTCTAAACTTTTTTACAATATTTTCTAAAAGTTTAATAGATTTTTTATAACTTTTTCATAACATTAAAAATTAGTTTTGTGAAAGTAAATTGTACGAAAGTATAAAGACAAATTGCAAAAATGGTCGTATATATTTTTTTGGGTTTAAGTCCAAACCATGATTTTTTTGGATTGGTGGTCATTTTGAGGTAGTTTGCTTGTAATTTTGGTCATGCGGTAAACTAAAAAGACTAAAATACCATTCTGAAATATTTTTTTATGTTTTTTTCTATTTAATTTAAAGTTTTATTAATAAAAAATATGGGACATCTCTCTCTCTCTCTCTCCAAAAAATCCCACATGAGTATCATCTTCTTCCCACAAATCCAACATCTTTTCACCATCGACACACCACCTGCAACCTCATATTTGTTACAGTTCATCGACAACCAACACCCTCTTCACATCATCATTCTCATCGTCTACCACCACACCTTAAACTAGGCCTGCAAATCAGAGATAAAACTCACACAAGTTCATTTATTCAACTGGGTTTACGACATTTTCGTCTCCTTCGAGTGTGTGTTTTTTTAGTTTCGTGTGTGTAAAATAACTTAGATCTCAAAACTTTGATTGTGTATGGAGATCTACTTCGATTTATGTTGTTCCTCGCCCCTTTTTTCTTAAGAGCCCTAATTTCTCTGATGGTGGTGGTCTGGTGGTGTTGAGAAAATGGGTTTAGAGCTGCGACAACTTGGTGGTAATAAAAACTCTAATATGTTCTTGAGTGAAGATGGAGCCCTAATCGTGTGTATTACCGATGATGAACAACATGGACAGAAACCCTTACGCAGGTCTGGATTTGTAACCGGAGAATAGGAACATAGGTGAGTTTGGGTTTGAAATTTGATGCATTGTGTTTGAGTTTTGTGGATTCCGATATGGTATTCTTCATTCACCAGGGAAGAAGAAGCAATGACCCAACCCTCCATCATCGATGAGCACACAAAAATCAAGAAATTGCAACATGTTTTGATCGATTCTTCTTTCTAGCGTCATTAACAGATTAATCCTCGATGGAATCGCATCTCACTGATGGATAATTGATTTGTTCCATATGGCTACATCTCCGACTCTATGCACCGCCATACCCACCATTGATTTGTGTGTAATTCTTCATCATCGTTATCTGGTTCTCGGTGCCCCTGTCAAATGGTGGAGATCAAAGTTTTAGATTAGGCAGAAGAAGATGAAATGGTGGAGAGGAGCGAAACTTAGTTGTTACCGGTGGAGGCTCCATCAAAGGTGGATGCTTGGTCTCGACGGAGATGGTGATTCCGATCTAGTAGGGGATGAACTTACAGACAAATTGGAACACACACACACAGAGAGAGAGAGAGAGAGAGAGAGAGAGTCATTTTTTGTATTTATTTATTAATTATAAAATAGTTAAAAAAGAAAGAAAAATGAAAAATAAATATATTAAGGGTATTTTAGTCTTTTCAATTTGGGGAGGGACCTTTTCCACATACAAACTACCTCAAAAGGACTAACAATCCAAAAAATCGTGGTTTGGATTAAAACCCCAAAAAAATACATACCACAGGGACTATTTTTGCAGTTTTGTCAAGTATAAATTTTTGAATATATATATATATATATATATATATATATATATATATATATATATATATATATATATATATATATATATATATATATATAAACGTTGTATTAAATAATTATAATTTTTTTTATAAACTTAGTTAACATGTATAGAAAAGGTTTATAATAAGTAGTTGATTTTTCAATGAAGAGTTCAAGGAAAAAGATATGCTATTGATTTTTAGATTTCTGTAATTTTAGAACTTTTTTATACGTTTTAATAAGCTAGCTGAACTCAAAGTACACAAAAAAATACAATTTTTTTAATACCACATTTTAGATTTGTTTTATATTTTTTTAAAACTTTTTTTTAATCATTTCATACAACTTATCTTCAACGAAAGTATTTTTAAATGTTATAAAATAATCTAAAAAAAGTAATAAAATAATCTATGAATTATTTTAAAATAATTGTTAAATTGTAAAAAGATCTTAAAAGTCATGGATAAATACACTTATAAATTAAATTAAATTTGAGATGAATTCCAAATTTAAAATTTAGATCAAACTTGTAATAAAATTTAAAAGTTGGCTCAAAAATATAAAATTTAGAAAAATGACACCTCTTCAACTTGAGATAGATGGTAAATATACAAAAAGTTAAGTTTGTTACCTTTGTAAAAAATACAATGTGCTTTTTTGCAACATGAAAGTATTTTGAGAAGTTTTTTTTTTCAAAATTTAGTGATAACTTTTTAGAAAATTACCACAAATTTCAGAATGACTCGTTCTAGATTCTTTTATTTTTATGACTATTAAACAACTGGTGTGACGTGACATAAAATAATTTGGATTATCATATGTCAGCTGCACAGCAGCACTTTGCACTCTGAATGTAATTTCTGGACTAAGAGCATCCATAATATAATAGTATTTTTATAAAACTTTTATAATGCCTTATCATTTATACATCACCAACCAAAAAAACATAACTATCACTACAATATAATAAAAGGTAAATGTTATTATAGCCAAACCAACTTTTACGTTTTGGTTTAAAAAATCCATCATGTTTTTTTTATAGTTTAAGGGAGTAGTCTAGTTTTACCTATTAAAAAAGGACTTTAACCGGTAATTTTCAATTTTCATGGACGAGGTGACTTTTTCTTTAACTAAAAATAAAAAATAAATTAAACTAAAATCCAACACCCACCATTAACAACCTGTTCATGTTTTTGAGTTCTTGAAGAAAACTCATCTCCCACCACAACACCTTTGAAGGTTTGAAGTCGCCATCGCCTCTCTACGTTATCCCCTCGTATTTACTAGCGGCTAAACTTTGATTCTCTCTACTCAATTGATACGTGTGTCGTCTGTTATCTTTCTAGTTATACAGATGCTTTTAATCAGATGAAGGATTTCGAAGAGTTTTTGAAGACGAAAATATGTTCGTTCTTTTCCTTTACATCTATCTACATTTTCGATATTTACTAGTTGATTAGTCAAATTAAAGATCTATTTCAAAGAAAAGCTATCGTTTCTTAGTTATATTTCTATCAAAGATATTGTAGCTTCCTTAATTTTTGGCTTTCATGTCTTTGTTGGATAAATTTTGGTGCTTAAAGATTCTCGTTTGAAGATGAAGAGCCCATGAAGATGAAGAACCTAGATTGGACGATCCTTGGGTTTTTTTTTCGATACCCAAACAAAGATAACATAAGTTTAAATTGTTTCTCATATTTGTTTTTTGTTCCATACCCAGATATGGGTTTCTTCCATCTCTCTTAATAAATCTCAATTTCTTTTTTTCATTTTGTTATGTTTATTCGAGTTTGTTGGAGATGGTCAAACGAAATGAATGCAAAGATGTACACATGAGGGATATTGGATCAAATATTAAGATGTTTAATTCACTGATTTCCTTTTTTTAATTTTGTTCTTGTTCATCAATGGGCATTACACGACCTGTTTTGAACCTTCAACAATCATGACCTCATGTTCACCTGTTTTATGGGTCCTATGGTGGACGATGGTCCATGGTTGGTGGGCGGTAGATGATTGTAACGCCCGTAGATCCAAGCTAGTCAATTTAGAGACAATGAGCATCAAAAATGAGTTTTTGATGGAAAATTATTTAGAAGGAATAATCTTAACCAAGTGGTAGTATATGTTACAAGGGTTCCGTACATATAAAGAACGCCAAAATCCGAGTTATAACGAAGAAGTTATGGCCCGTCGAAGTTTTACGGCAAAACTGGCACGGCATCGGGAAGCGTAAATAGTGAATTTACGATAGACCGACTTTTAGCCTTAGTAATCTAAACGAAAGTCGTAGAATACGTTAAACCGAGAGTGTGCATAAAAAAACGCCAATTCTGACTTCATATGAGAAAGTTATGATTTTTCAAAGTTTCGGCTTAGTAGTGTACATCCCGAAGTTCGAATATTAGATCGAGCGGTTTTTAGTCGACACAACCTAAACGAGAATCGAAGATCTCGTTAATAGTAGCGTGACGATAAAAAGACCAATCCTGTCCCGGCCTGTTAAAAATATAAATTTTAAAATAAATTCAAAATTAGCCAACGGAGTCTAAACGAAAGTTGTAGAGTACGTTCCCGTCTACGCGTGGATATAAAGAACATAAAAAACGGAGCTTGTATGCGAAAGATACGAATTTTTGAAGTCGGAGTATGAATTTACGAAGCCTGATGCGAACTCGATGACGTGGCCAAAT